TGGCTCAATGTCAATTTTTCCATTAAGGGGTTGCTTACACCCCTTAAAAATAATAGGTGGAGTTCAGATCATTTTCACTTTTAAAGTTAAGGGTAAGATGATCCTAATTCCAAAATTTTATGCAAATCGGTTCACAGTTAAAAAATTCGAAGGTAAGACCGTATTTTTCGCTTCAATGACTGCACTATTTATGTATTGATGAAATCTAAACTTTCCAAATTACAGTCACTCAATAACTAAGTGATTCTAATAATAAATAACTATCTATTACGAAAAGACGTACAAAAACCGTAAAAGCGATGTACAAGTGACTTGAATAATAGCTTTTCAATAAAAGCAATTATTGTTATTATTTAATAACAATTTCTTATTTCACTTCCACTTGAAAAATTGATTGTAAGTATATTATTATTAACTACCCAAATCGCTAAATTAAATAAGGCTTAGGTTTACAACTTGTTATTTAGTTTGGAAAAGAATAAGAGTTTTCCATTATCCATCAGATTTTTTTGATACTACTACAGCTGTGTTTCAAGATTTATTGTTAGAAGCTGCTTTGTTAAACTACACGTTAATCAGTTAATTTCTCGATTGCCTGTTTGACTCATGTTACACGGTCAAAAAAACGAAAAATAAGGTCATGTTTTAGTCGTCTGCCATCTCATTTATCTTCTAGAGCATTCTTCGCCTAGAGCTCTAAATGATGTCGCCAAATGTAGGCTTGATAATTTATGAGGAACGGTAGAGTTAGGCGGCAATGCTTTTTTTTGGTGAGTTTTTTTAATGAACGAGTTTCTTGAAAGGATTTTATTATTCAGGTAAAAAATTTCGATTTCTTTTTGATTATTCATAATTCATATTTATCATAAAAATCAAACTCTTTCTACATTTAATTCGTCTACGAAAACTGTAAAAATGATACGAGTAATAACTCATGACTGTTACTAACAAATTATACAATTTATTACTGATAATTTATTTATTCATTACAAATCCCTGTTCAGATAACAAAACTAAGGTGTTCACGTTAAAAGCGCATGAAATTTAGGGTTAGGATGATTGGATATCGATGTATTCAATATATTCAAAACTTCGTGCATATTTAAAATTTGCCGCTGAGTAAGTATCCTACCTTATCAACGTTACGTCTTGTCTGTCTTTGTTTAATGGCTGTGGGAATACACAGCTTACACTGGTGCTATTGAGCTTATATTTAAGAATTCAAATTTATGAATTGCACTATCACAACTGCTATTAAAACAGATGACCATTCATCCAAAAATAGTGGTCGTTTTGCACAAAAGCGAATGGTGTTATCAGACGTCGAGGACAAACAATGATCCAACAGTCGATTAAGATACTATAAATTTGGGGAGAAAAAAGTCCGTACATCCTTTATATTTCGTTCGATTTTTACCTTTTTTTTCTTATTCCGAGGTAGCACAAAATGAATTAAACATTTGAATGTTATAAACATATTGTTCCTTACATTAAAAACAAATTTTTTTTTTTGCATTAGTAATGATTTTTTAAGATGCGTTTGTCAGGGATTGAAAATATAAAAAAAAAAAAAATGATTTGATGAGATATTTTCACTTAGTGGAATCAACTTTCTTGTTTTTACAGCTTCGTATTGCAAAACTTGGAGTGTACAGAAACATTGTTGTTATTTATATCGTCATTTGTGCCTTTATCTGTCTTATTTATAATTTCACAATTAAACTTCTAATATTTGAGATTTTGCTTGCGACATCAACAACGGTTAATTATGCAGGCTTCCTCACGCAAACATAAAATTTTTACCTTGATGCTTGGCATTAGGTAGTGGTAAAAAGAAAAAATAAGAAAGGTTACAGAGTTATTTCTTTTATATATTATTAGCTCGATGGTAAGAGCATGTGCTCGCGTTACCCATGCTGTCCATGCAGAATGGAGGCTTTGCTTGCTACTAGTTACACATGCGTCATGCTATTTATATGTATGTACATGTTCATATCAGTACACATTCGCGATTGTATAATCAACACAAGTTTTGCATGAAGACCGACAAAAAGTATTACTACTGGTCCTTTTTATGGCCATTATAAAGCTTTATGTTATTGGTTCTCTATAAGTAAAAATTATCGAGATGACGTAAAATTATATACACCCCACGAGCGAAAGTAAAGAATAATTAGATCTCGTGTTTGTAACTCTCGGACTCGCCTCTGGTGACAATGCACATGTGATCTGGATCATTTTTTACTTAACCGCCCTGGGTGTATAAATAGCTTTTACGTTCACTAGAACACCATAAATCTCACTAGTTTTTTTTTTTAGGGCTATCTTAAGTTGAACCACCTCACTGACAAATAGATTTTTTTAAATTCTTTTGGCAAATGTAAATGCATATATTTAAGAGATAATTATGACAATAATTTATTTACGAACATACTATATAAAGTCTGCCCCCTTACAACCAATTCAGTTATTCACTGACGGACGATATAACGAGTGAAGCTGTTCGTCGTTAGGCTGGAAATCTTGGCCATTGACTACTCTCCCTTTTAACCAAGGATTATAATTCAGTATACTGAACCTCTTCGAGATCTATGCTTAATAAACCTAATATCGAAGCTGTAAAGGAAAAATAAACTTGCAAATGGGATAGTTTTCAACAGGCAATCGATAGGAACCAATCTTCATCTTGGACCGCTAAAACGACAGAGTTCCACGAAACAGAAAGGTGCTTCGGATGCTAATATCTCCAGTGTAAAATCAAGAGACGTTGGGAAAAAGCACTGCAATTAACTCTAACGCTTGTAAGGGTCATAGTTTTCCTTCAAAACCAGTTCGGTGCTACAACTGCAGGCTAGAGCCAGATAAATTTAAAAAACGAATCAATAATAACGCACAGGATGGCACATAGCTAATTTTGTTCGTTTGTGTATAAGGAATATCGTCCTGAAGTCGATCCCATATCAAAGGTTTGGAATATTGTCACATTAGCAATATAATGGGTGAAAATCGCACTAATTTGAGTTTTCTGTATTTTATTAAAAGCATATAAAAAATAAAATAGTTAGACTTTTTTTTATTTTGTAAGGGTATAAAGTTCGAAAAATTTGAGACCTGTTAAATTGAATTGGGCAGATTATTCATGGATATATTAAAAATTTGTGTCACAATTGCAAAATTTTAATTTATTTTTAATTTAAAGAAGAAAGGTACTACTGTGAAAATAAATAAAAATATGTTTTTCATGGCCCTAAATGTACCATTAATTTTTTGTGAAAAAATATTTTTTCGTGTATGAGAAATCAGAATTGTTTATGAAAAGGCATAAAATGTTCAATGATTTTGTGAAAATTGGAGTCCATAAAAATGATTGATCAAGAGCTTAACGTCATGTTGTTTTGACAGGGAAACAGCTGGTACTTTTACACGAATTAGAAGCCAAGATAATTTTTTTTCGTATTAAACTCGATATTTTTTTATTTATAAACATAACCACTTGAAAACATAGGTACGCATTGTTCAATACTTACATTTTGTAAATTCATGAACTGCTATCGATACGGATACACTGTCATCCGAAAGTAGTGATCGTTTTGGACGAAAGCAAATGTTGTTGCCAGAAGTCCAGGGCAAACAGTGATCCAAAAGCTGATCGAGGTACTACAATTTCACCGAGAAAACAAAGGTCGTACTTCAGGACAGTTTAAAGGGGTGGAAACCATCCTCAAAGATCGCCTACGGCTTTTCCACATAACTCGCCCCCGCCTCCATATTTTTTGTTTGTTTTGTTCAAACAAAATAAAAGTTGTGTTATTTGAAATAGGTGGTCTAACAATGATGATTCAAACAAGAAGGGTTGTATCCTCTATTTTTAAGGGTTAAAAATCCATATTTTTTGGCAACATTTTTGTAATAAAAATTTGTGAAGAAACTTAAAAGTTGTAAAAAATGTTAACGCGTAAAATAAACAGATAAAGTAAATTTGTTTTGGCATTTTTATGAATACTAACCCCATTTTAGGTTTAAATTCTCTATTACAGAACCACCATAAACATTTTTTGAAGCCCAAAAAAAAAAATTTGCACAAGCTTACATATAGGAGTTTTAACAGTCACTGATTACAAATCCGCTTTTATATTCCTAAACTTTACGATTACTTAAGTAATATAGCAAAAAGAAGTATTAAAAGAACATTTTATTTCAGTTTATGAAAAAACGTAGAAAGTCTTTTTTAGGTCATCTATTGCAATTCATTACAACTATTCTTACACCTTTCTTTCATGGTCAAATATTGCAGACACATTTTAAGTACGAAGTTTTCAAATATTTTTTACATAGACTCTCAATATTTGTAAGATGACATATTCATAAACATCATGTCTGGAAATTGATTAATCGATCTCAAATTATTTTGTTCCCAGTTGTCAGATGTATAATATCAGTTAAATTACTATCTAGTTAATAAAACATTTAAACTGACAATACATACTTTTATTTACGTGGTATATTAATTGTTAATTAGAGACCTGTGAAATATCTGACGACAAATAAAATAAGTAAAATTTACTGTAGTGTGGAAGGGAAAAAAGAACTAATGCGAAACTTTTTATTAAATCATAAATTTACTATCATTTTTTTTTTTTTTTTTTTTAATGGCAAAAGTCATGCACACATACATACGTATACACACATGGCCAGGCAGGTATTTTAAATTTATTTTCTCTAAGTTTGTAATTTAAGATTTCAAAATTTGTAAAAATACACGGACTAGAAATAGTTAAGGTATCCTTTGAACCGTTTTCAAATACCTACGTAAAGTTTGGATGAATTCTTCAGTTCAATGAAGCACTTAATTTAATCACTCAATTTTATCATTTTAGCTTAATGATTATCACTAAATTTGTTTTACCTTTACTACTTTGTTCTTAATTCTTAACCATTTTGAACGCAGTAGTGTAAATAATGTTACATTTTCAGATATTATGAAAATACTTTGATTCTAGGGCAGTTACGGATCCAAGAGATGGAAAAAGAGTTGCTTTGAAAAAATTGCCAAATGTTTTTCAAAGCTTAATTAGCAGTAAAAGAGTGTTCAGAGAATTAAAAATGCTTTGTTTCTTCAAACATGAAAACGTAAGTTGACTGTTCTTCTGTGTATAAAATATTTTATGTTAAGCCATTATGAAAGTTGCAATTGGAAATACATGCACTTACCATTTACTACTTCTAAAACATATCAAGCTAGTTTGCTTAATTAAGAAGTAGAATGTAAAAACGCGTGAGATAGAAAATAACACATTTTATCCTTTGATAAAATACATAAACAAATACCAAATCCACCCTACATACAAACAGTTTTAAATGTATCAATTCAAACAGATTAGGCTTATAAAAATCATTCAGTACAGCTACTAAGTTTCAATATTTTCTGTGTACTTAAAAATTGAACTTTACCATTAGTTAGAATTTCGATTAATACACTGAGAAAAGTGGTATCCAAAAAATTGTTACAACCATTATAAAAATTACAATATTTTATAGAAAAGCTAAGACATACTTGNTTCTTATAACTCTGTGCAGGTACATTGTAGTGCATTCAAGAAAAAAAGGTGAACTAGTGATGCAGAATTATGAAAATCGAAATCTCAACATGAAGAGTCGGATTCCTAATACATAGGGGATAGGTTATATTTTATATTAGTAGGTTTTATAGCAATTAAGCCGCAATTTAAAATTCTTCTTAATCAAAAGAAAGATTCCGACATATCTATCTAGACGGAAACACTAAGTAAGTTAATATACTCATAATACTACTAAAATTTAAAGAAATTGTAACTTGTTCCAGTGGTTGGTAACCAATTTTATTTTTATGCCTCCTAGTAAATTTTTTTCCGGAAACGCGTGTAGTTTACTGCATCGAATAGAAATAAGCATAGTTCTAGCCCCCTAGCCAACAAGCCGTAGACAAGAGAACTTTACGCTTGCAGCATGCTACATCAGGTCACCATTGATTAGCCGTGCGCACTTGTAGAGAAAAGAAATAACAAAAAGGAGTGTCCAACATGCATTGGGAACTCATCAGCAAAACTTTTAACTTGACACTCCCTTCCTTTACTACTTTATTTGGTCCGGTCTTGTAATTTTCTTCCCTAGTAAACAAATTTTAATTCTGTTTTCGTACTGCGCTAAAAATATCATAACTCTTATACTTCTAAATTCATTTAAATTTATCTAACTCTATAATGTTGTCCCTAAGTACTTGATAGGTTTCTTACAGCAGTTAGTTAGTCATAATGTTAACTAAAAATTATTTTAAATGTGTCTGTGCACTGAAAAAAGTAGTGTTAAGAAAAGTGTTACAACTGTAATAAAAATTACAACATTTTTTGCAATAGTTGGTGGAAAATGGGTGTTTTCCACACTGATATTAGTGTGGAAAATCGATTTTCCCACATAGTGTGGGACAAAAGTGTGTGGCAAAAGTTTTTGCACACAGTTCGTGGAAAAGGTGTGTGGCAAAAGTTCTTGTCACAAAGTGTGTAGAAAAAGTGGACGGAAATGATTTTTCCACATACCGGAAAAAATTTTGCGACACACTGGTAATCAAAATTTATACCTATTTTGTACCTATTTTCCTCACACATTGCGAAAAAACTTGTACGCAACTCGTGCGGGATGACTTTCCGCACTCACGTAATAGACTGGCACTCGTGGCCAGTGACAGTAACTCGTACCTTGCGATCACTCTTGTGCTACGCACTCGAACGCTAAACTAGTACTCATTCCCGTCAACTCCGGCCACTCGTACGAGTCAATCACGACTCGTGAAGGAAATCGTCTTTTCCGCACTTGTTAACCAAATAACTATCAAAGGTAAGCCAAGACATACTCGCCATATTATAAAAATTGCTATGCTACGTAGTAAAACCAGATCATAATAGAATTTGCTATTCAACATAGTTATTTTTACTTTGTTTAGAAATAATTTTTATATTGAAGTATGAGAAATACACACACACACCCACACACCCACACACCCACACACACACATATAGGTCACCCTCTCTGTTCAAAAATTGGAGCAACAAACATGATTCCTTTAAGGCCCATTTCAAAGCTTCTTAATTGTAGATTCTTTCAAACTGTGGCCTTCTTAAAAAGTCATAATGTTGGAGAAGTGTGGCCGCCAAAAATGGACCATGTCACGGTTAGACAATGCTTTTTGCGATACTGTACGTAAAAAACGAAATAAAAAACTAATTACAAGCTTTTGTGCTACATATCTGTACCTAGTTAATACAAATAAATTTTTATTTTTCATCTACAAGTATTTTTATCGTCTCTAACCTTGAAAAACCTCTAAAAAAAGGTGATTTTTGAGTGTTACGATCACCTATATTATCTAAAATTTATGGAAAAAAAAATAATTTCGATCCATCTTCGTTTGCTCAATTCAATATAGACCTGCTTCTTAACGAAAATCAATTTTTGTTTTCCATAACCTCGAAAATCTCTGAAATATGCGATTTTCGAGTGTTTTGATCACTCAAGTTATCGTAAATTAATAGAAAAATACCATTTTGAGGCAGTTTTACTTGCTTAATACTGATATAAATCTATTCCTTACAAAAGTTTCGTTATGTTTTCCTTAACCTCAAAAAATCTCCTAAAGAGCAGTTTTTTAAGTATAATATTATTATTGATCAGAGTCTTTATCTCTCGTTTTTTAAGTCAAGAAAGTTGTAAAAAAAGTATATGATAGGTCGTATGGAAATAAAAATATAAATACAATATAAATATGTTGGAATCAACAAAAATTTTCTCAGTGTATTCGCACTTTTTTTTACGGATATTGATTTATTTATAACCTGAATGTCTTTTCTCATCCGTAAGCTGTAAAAACTTTTTGGAAAAGATTTGCTTATATGCGTCTTTAGTTATATGTTGAATAGGCGTTTTATGCATGTATGTTTGTCATGTTAAGTGCTCCCAGTTTTCTGGAAAGGTTTTAAAGTGGGGTGAATAATAATGCAAGTCAGTATTTATCATTACAGTTAAAGGATCTTACTCGGCATATAAACTTTTGCAGATCACCCAGATATCTTTATTATTTTATATTCTACAAGCCCAAGAGTATTTACATAATTTACAGGCTTGTGTGATGGATTAAAAAACAATTCTTAGCATAGTAAGAAGCTTATCATTTTCAGAAAAAAAACTTATAAGTAAAAGTTCAGCAATTCAAATCTACACACACCGGAGAATCTATAGTCATTTTTGGATGAAATCCATCCCTTTTGAAGCATTTTAATATCGTGCTATAACTATTTTCTGCTATTTCATAGTAAATGAATGATTCTTTAGGATTTCAGGTTCTAGCAAGGCTGATTGAAATATGTTATTTAAGTGCCTTAACGATTCATAGTGATCAAATTTAGTGAAAAACTGTATTTTAATATTTCTATATTTCTAACTCACTTTTGCCATGGGCCGTTGCAGAGTAATGCCACTCCGCATCAATTCCAATATCTCGCTTATGATTCCAAAGGTTAGAATTTTGATATACGTTTTTGAAGTGCTGAGCTGTATCAGTCGCATATATAATTTTCTTGATAACTTTTGATTTTTTCATGATTTCTGGAATTAATTATTTCTGAATGGTACACACTGCGGACGTATCGTGCCTTAATATGTCGGACAAAAAATACAGCTATTTTTTTCGCGGTGCTGATCATCACAAATAACTATAACATGCTTCTCCAGTCTCCAAAACGCAGATATACCATACATTATCGATCATGCTGAAAATCGGTATTCTCAAGTGTTTTGGTGTGCTGTTCAAGAATTTGACAATAAAAGTCCTTATAAATGAAGAATGATTCTTCAAAAAGTATCCTTAGGTTATTTTAGAAGATGTATCAAGGCTTCGAATATATTTCAAAAATATACATTATTTTATAAAAGTACATTATGTGTAAAAATGTACATTATTTCACAAGCAGCTAGGTTGATAATCAATTTTAAATTAGCATTTCAACGAAAATTTTTAAAGTATGGTACAACTAGTAGAATTTCCAATACAAAGTTGTATTCGTTCAGTATACAATAGGTTGAAAGGGATCGAGGTACCATTTTTACACAATCTTACAAAAACTTCGTTTAAAGTTTCTTGAGACAAAAAATGACGGATAGAGACTCTGGTCAATAATATAGTATTATTTATCTTAACGGAGTACAAGAGAAGGGAAATGAAGAATTACCATATTTTTACGGTAATGCAAAAGAAAATTATACTTGAAAAACGTATCTTTAAGGGATTGTTTGAGGTTAGAAAGAATTTAAGAAAACTTTTGTAAAGAATAGGTTTATGTTGGTATAAAGCAAGTGATACTGCTTCAAAGTAGTACTTTTCTACAAATTGACAATAATTTAAGTAACTTAAATGCTTGAAAATTGCCTTGTTTAGAGGTTTTTTGAGGTTAGAGACGACATAAACACTATTAGATAAGAAATAAAAATTTATTTTTATTTAAAATGTACAGATAGATAACAAAAAAACTCGTAAATATTGTTACATTCAGTTTTTTACGTACAGTATCACAAATATCATCCTTTAACGGTGAGGTAGTTCATTTGTGGCGGCCATATTTATCTATCATTATAACAATTTTATAAAGACCACTGTTTGAAAGAATCTAAAACTAAGAAGCTTTGGAATAAACCTAAATAGAATCATGTCAGTTGCTCCAATTTTTTCACAGACGCGGTGGTCGAGTTCACAGAGAATGCCCCATATATGTGTACACACATTATGTATATTATATATACATAAAGAGAACATTCACTATGAACTTGGCCACCCCCTTTGTTCAACACTTAAAGCAACACTCACACACCATACACACACACACACACACACATATAAAGATGTTTTCCTATGTTATATAGTTATTTTGGTGGGGCTGTCAACACGTCCCCCCCATACTCTTATGGTTCCTCCACAGCCTTCACAGCCCCTATAAGCCCCCACAATACAAGGGAAAATCCTTATTTCTCTGTGAATTCAACTCAACAAAATTTGTGTGAAGTTCCCACGCCCTCCCCCCTACTACCCCTTTACAGCTGCCACGTGA